TTTTACTTGAGAGACCTCTGTGAAAACAACACTCGACAATTATAAATGGTATACATATTAATCACATATTTAAATCATGTTTTGTCGTTTAACAAAGTTTCCTTAATAGTATAAGACAGGTTGTTACATTTTGTCATTGATTAAACAGTGTAATAGTATATTAAAGTAAATTACTAGGTTGAGATAGGCAGGGGGCGGGGGAGGGGAGGAACAATTTCCTTCGATAAGTGAAGCTTGAACAATTAAAAAAGAAGTGAAACATTTATTCACTAATGTCCTGTCTTGTTGTGCGCAAGCGTGAGTGCACCTAACCTTTGTAACATCGACTGTCATCGTAAACGAACAAATGAAATTTCTCCAAGCGAGATGAATAAAGATTGTCATTGTCACTGTCATTGGCATGAGAGATAGAATTCCTCCCTGATAGAGGTCGTTTTTGAACTTGGGATTTTTTGTGGAGTTTACAAACTTCTCCATTCATTTGCCAAGCCACCAGTGCAGTCCTCGGCCAAAGGGAGAATAGGAGAATGGTTTCTACTCTATGCTCTCGTCATCTCCATCCTTCTATATGCTTGTGAATCATGGATCCTGACCGCAGAGCTGTAGAGGAAGATCCAAGAAGCCGAACTGAGATACTTTAGACGACTCTTTGGCATCTCCAACAATGACCACATCACAAATGAGGAAGTGTGCAGTAAAGAGAAACAACACAAGAGCCACTATTTAGACTCTCTTTCCGTCTACTGTGAAAGCAAAGAAAAATGAATTGATATGGTCATGTAACAAGATCGTGTGCTCTATCCAGGACCATTCTTTGAGGAAATGTGCAGGGGAGGAGAAAGAGAGGACGGCAAAGAAAGAGGTGGACCAACAACATTGTGGAGTGGACAGAGAAATCCTTCGCCCAAACTCAGGCGCTCGCAAAAACCGTGGAAAGTGGAGGAACCTGACGAGGCTCTCTATCACACAGCGCCCCTACGATCCTTGTGGTCTATGGGGTCAGTAAGCAGTAAGTTGATCTAAGTGTCGGAGATTGGCGATAAGTTTGGAAGTATCGTCTCTAAATAACTTAACAGCGTTGAACTGAAAATTAAGTTAGTTCCTTAAATTGCTAATTACATATGAGCCTTGATCAGATTTGTTCAACGATGAAATTCATGTCGTAGTCACGGGTTACTCATTCGTGAGCAGCTTTGTACGCAATCCAGTTTTGTTTCGTGTTTTTTTTTTTTAATTCATGTGTTTTGTTTTGTTTCGTTTTGTTCTTTTCTTTTCTTTTCTTTTCTTATATTTATTACGATGGGGTTGGGATATCAATCAGAACAAGACGGGTTTTAAAAAAAATAAAAAGTGGACCCTGTTAAATTTAGCCACTTTGAAAATTATTTCGACTCAGAGTTCAAAGAAACAAACTGCCGTATCAAAACGTCCGGTGGTAAACTGGGATACTTTTTGACCTTTAGAATCCCGATCCTATTTATAAAGGTGTTAACCGAATACAAAACTGTCTGAGCTCTGCACCACTGAGCAATTATATTCCTTCTGCAATTCGGACCTCGGACAAACACGCTGATTTCTAATGTCCCCACGTTAGAAAATGGTTCATGTAGTGCATTGGGGACTTTAAAAAATTTTTAAAAATTAAATCGATGGTTTTAAAATCACTTACGTCATGTACGTTGTGTCTTGGGACCCATTTGACGTAAAAAAAATAAATAAATAACAACAAAAAAGCGAACAAAAAAAAAAATCTGTCCCTGGCTGATTGCTCTTTCTTCATTCAGTTTTCTCAAATCAAATTCAACCACATTCACTATCTGCCCATCGTAACAGAAGAGGCGTGACGTTGAGCTTACCTGATTTTCTCACTCATTCTGTTTAGTTCATCCTGCAATCTGTCTGTGAAAGCTGTCTACAGCTGTTAATCGATACCAAGTTAGACCGTGTACAAGAAAGTGGCTAAGTTTGCCAGCCTCAAGGAAGCGACAAATTATGTACTCTATGTGTGACGAAATCGGTTGAAATGAGCAGATTTAGATAGATAGATATTATCTTTCTTTCTCTACCTATATGCCCTTAGACCGTGTACAAGAAAGTGGTTAAGTTTACCAGCCCCAAGGAAGTGACAAATTATGTTCTCTAGGTGTGACGAAATCGGTTGAAATGGGTAGAATTTTCTGACAGTGGTTCACATTCACGAGTAGATTCTTACATTGCAGCATTTTTTTTCCTTTCTGAATAATTCGCACTCTCCTTCAATCAGGCCCACCTGTATCTCTGCCTGTCTCTCTCTCTCTCTCTCTCTCTCTGTCTCTGTCTCTCTCTCTCTGTGTCTCTATCTCTCTCTCTCTCACTCTTTCTCTCTCTACCTATCTGCCCTTCTGTTTCTCTCCCCCTTTTTGTCTCAGTTTGCTTCTCTCTCATTCACGGTGCGTCTCTCTTTCTCCCTCTCTCTCTCTGTATCCCTCCCTCTCGGTCTCTCTCTCTTACTTTTCCTATTTCTCTCTATATTTATCCATATATTTATTTATCTATCTCTGTCTCTCTCTCTCTCTCTATTTCTTTCTCTGCCTATCTGCCTCTCTCCCCTCCTCCTCTCGCCCCACCCCCCTCCCCCTTCTCTCTCTTTCTCTTTGTCTCTCTCACATTCTCTATGCATCGCTCCCTCTCTTTCACTTTCTCGCTCTCTATCTCTCTGAGTGTGTCTCTCTCTCTTACTCTCTCTCTCTCTCTGTCAATGCCACCCTCTCTCTTACACTCTCTCCCTGCCTCTGTCTCCCCTTATCTCTCTCTCTCAGTCACTGTCTCCTTCTCCCTATTTCTCTCTCTCTCTCTAACTCTCTGTCACTCTCTCTCCGCTCTCTCTCTCTTTCTCTCTGCATCTCTCGGTACCCCTCCCCCC